CCTTATTGGCAGTGTACCTTTGGTTCCGGTGTAACCATCATATGTCAGCTCATAACAGTGTTATCAAGTGCAACCGATGAGGAAGTGTTACTCAGGATAAGTAGTGTTCCATTATAGTGGTGTTCCATTTTAGTAGTGGTACATTTTAGGGTGGTGTTACAATAGAGCGGTGTTACAATGGTGGCAGCTGTAACACCCAGGACCTCCCCCCCCTTAGAGTTCACACCCAGGGAAGCCTTCTCCAAGAGGTCAGCCCAGATGACCTCCGGTTTATCTTGTATATTGATTAAAAATTCCTGGGTTAGTCTTAGTCAGCATAGTTTCAAGTATGTAATATTTCATGCAAGGAACTATGCTGACTAAGACTAACCCAGGAATTTTTAATCAATATACAAGATAAACCGGAGGTCATCTGGGCTGACCTCTTGGAGAAGGCTTCCCTGGGTGTGAACTCTAAGGGGGGGGAGGTCCTGGGTGTTACAAGACCCCGGAACCCCAAAAGGCAGAACCGGGTCACACACAAGGAAACAAAGCCCCCCGAACCCACAAAGGGGGCCCAAGAGGAAGAAACCTCCGGAACGAAAGCAAGCAACCCAAAGGAACCCGGAATCAAACTTGGGGAAGCCCAAACCACCACATTTGCCGGCGGAGATACACCACAGAAAGGCAAAGCACAGTCCCCGGACAGAACCCCCAGGGAAACAGCCAAAACAGACCGAAAACCGAGGGACAAGGTGTGGGAGCAAGCATAAACAGACAGGGACACTGAGCCCAAATCCTAGGGCTCAGACCCAAAATAGACAAAATGGAAAACCCGGTGTAAAAATCAACACCCAAACGTTTCCAGAGGAACAGATGATGGGCAGAAAACACCAGAAAAGCATAGAAACGACAACAGGAGAATAAAACCCCTGAAAGAGGTGAAAAAACACGCCCAAGACACTCGCTCGCACACCCAGGCACATGTAAACAAATCGCAACGCTGCCCTGGTGGCCACGCCGGGAAACCGGCAGAAGAAAATGGCCACCAGAACGGGGGGGGGGGGGAGCCGTGACCGACGCAAAAAATACGAAAACATGCCAGCAAAAGTGGGAAGCAAGCAGACTGGATGGGCGAAAAACTCTGCCTAGAAGCAGAAAACCCAGGCAGGGGCAAACAGCCCCAGAACTGCTAGCAGGCATCCCCCACAGCCAAGGTTACAATAGCTGCAGGGCTCCCAAGTACTAGGTCACAAGAACCAAGGGGAAGGGGGGTTCTGTCGGCTTACCGAGGACCAGCACCAGAACCTGGTCCTGTAATAATTAAGGTTATATGGCCTCTGGCTATTTTCAGAATCACATTTTAGGGACCTATAATGAGAAATTTAAATGTCATTCAACAAAATTCTTTAAAACTTACCACTTCTAAAATAAAAACCAGACATACAATTTGTTCCAAAATGGGCCCATTGACTTCCACATTAGTGGAAATTAACTTATTTAATTACAATATTTTTATTTCACCGCACCCCACCCACACATTTCCTTAAGTTAGATTTTTTGGAGAAAAATACAAGTTTAGTAGAGACAACCCATAATTTAGAGGAATTCATTAATGGATAGGGCACTGTACTTCTACTGCCAAAACATACTTTCTGGAGGAACCTCAGCGGCTCCCAGAAGGTATCTCGCCGAGATGGGTTCCTCCTACCGAGTCATATCACCGTTTGGAGTCCTGTATGGCCTACCAGAGACTACAGCCGGGACCACCTGGTTCTGGAGCCCAAAACCAGGGGAGGAGGACGAGACACTGGGCAAACCACACCAACAGGGAAAGGAAGAGGAGAGTCAAACATAGAACAGGTGGAATTGAGCAACTCCAATCTGGATCCTAAACACAATAGGAGTCAATTCTGGGGCATCCATTCGAGCACCAAGCCCTGAGCCACAATGCAGGAAAAACGAGCCCACAAAGCAGCAGCTGCCTAATAAGCCTCCTGTTTTGAGGCAGGCTCAGATAATAGACTTAACAAGTGCAAGTGCCCCAGGACTCAGGGTTGAAGGGGTCAACAACCCAGGAAGCAGCATGGAGTAGACTGAAAAAATGAACACTGGCATGTAGTAAAGCCAATGAGCACCCTCAACTCACAAGTAGCAAGCGAGGGCTAGACACATCGACACATTGTGAACAGTGCCACAGACCCGCAGGGGAGTTATGAGAGCCTGAAGGAGTATAAAGCATGCCACCCAGGCCCCAGGAAAGAGGGGGGCCGACCCCTCCCACCAAAAGAACCGACACCAAACAGCCTGCAGAATGGACAGAGCTACAAAAAGGCATCAGTAGTATGCCATATGAATGAATCATGCACTACCCCAGGGTGATACACTCTACCCTGAGGCCTGGCTTTTCTGGCAAACTCCCGAACACACTAGAGAAGTTACTCTTAGTGCAGGGACAATGCTAAACAAGCACATAGGCAAATGAGTTTCTGGAGAGGGGTGCCCTGGTCACTGATGCTTGGTTTATACAGCCAAGGATGCATCAATTGTTGTGCCCCATTCGTCACTACCTATGCGCCACCTGCTCTGCTTCACTGGAGCTTACCACGAGAAGGTTTCAGGAGTTCTTCGACTTCCCAAGCCTGGCCTCAGACCCAGGCTCGACTCTTGCTTGGTGACCTGGTTTCCTTCGGTCACTGTTCCAAGGCACAGTTGTACCAAGTTGTTCACAGTGTCATTATATCAGCTTGATATCTACTTGATGAGATTCTGGGAGTTCTTCTACTTCCCAAGCCCGGCCCGAGGCCAGGCTTGACTTGTGAGAGCTTGGGTCCAACAAGCTGTTGCTTGGAGTGCCCGCAGGCCCACATATCTAGCCAGCATGCACGTCTACACTCGGGCTTCAGCCACCATGTTCACTGGTTTGTTGTTCTCCTACTCTCCTAGTTTCAGGAAGCCAGCAGAGGTTCCTCAGTGTTGAATGCAATGAATGCTCTTTCTGGTAGAGCCTCTGTGGATTCCCGATTCCCTCCCAACCTCCTAGGTGCATTGGTTTGTAGTCTATCTGCTTTGGACTGACTAATGGCTAGGCCAACACCTGTTGTAATTACCTAAGTGTAGTTACAGGATGAGAGCTAGGCTCGTGGTGTCCCGTCACAACTGATGTTGTGGCATCCTAGCCACGTTTGCATTGTTTTCCGTATTTTGGGGGCACTTTCTTGGCGTGGGCGAGTGTAACAATACCCAGCTCCCGGTGCCTCTGTAGGAGGCGGCCAGGCTCTGGCTCCCGGTAGGCCAAACAGGTCTCCTACAACTGATGTGACCCAATACTGGGGAAGCCATCTCGGTGAAACAGCATCAGGGAGCCCCCGAAGTCCAACCAGAAAGAGGCATTTCATTACATTTATTGCTGTTTTTTCTCAAATGTTCTTAATGTACTATATACAGTTTACAATTTATGTATAAACACTACCTACCACTACAACTCGTACAACTACTGCCACCACCACTTCTTCCTCCTCTACTGCCACCATCACCTTCTTCCTCCTCCTCTACTGCTACCTCCATCACCACTTTCCTTCTCTACTGCCACCACCACCTTCCTTCTCCTCAACTACCACAATTATCTTCCTTCTCCACTACTGCTGACACCACCGCCACCTTCCTTCTCTACTGCCACCACCACCTTCCTTCTCCTCAACTACCACAATTATCTTCCTTCTCCACTACTGCTGACACCACCGCCACCTTCCTCCTCTACTGCCACCACCACCATCACCACTTTCCTCCTCCAATGTTTTCCATCACTACTACATCTACATTTAAACATTCTGACCATCGCTGGTAATTCCTCAAGCACGGATAAACACAAAAATATCCAGTGTTGACTCCTCTACACGCACTCAGTGCACATCTTATATACTGTACTTTGTGCTTTTATATTGCGATATGTAAAGGTTTAATCCAACTTAGTTTTTCAAATTTTCCAAATTATGTAATTTAAAATTTTTGACTGTACTTATGCAATAAGCCTGAACTAAGGAAACTATTCAGATTTTTTATAATACATGGGTCCACCTCCCCACCCCCATCACCCCTCCCTGGGCAAAGGGTGATGCAAAAATAAATCAACGTTGAAAACACAAAACACTACCTCGAGCACAATTTGCCTGATTGCGTGGTACCCTGTTCCATTAGGATACGAGACATTAATGGGAAATCTACCTAGCCACGATGTGACTAAAAGTACAAGCCTAAACTGGCTATATCTTCTTATCTTGAGGTTATCTTGAGATGATTTCGGGGCTTTAGTGTCCCCGCGACCCGGTCCTCGACCAGGCCTCCACCCCCAGGAAGCAGCTCGTGACAGCTGACTAACACCCAGGTACCTATTTTACTGCTAGGTAACAGGGGCATAGGGTGAAAGAAACTGCCCATTGTTTCTTGCCGGCGCCCGGGATCGACCCCGGGACCACAGGATCACAAGTCAAGTGTACTGTCCACTCGGCCGACCGGCTCCCTATAAGCTCCCTATGGATAAGTTTCAGATAAACTTCAAATGACATTTTAATCGTGTCGGGATAAATGGAGATAAAGGCATCAACGTGTATAGTAGAAGCCATCTTCTATACTACACATGTATCCACACAATATAAATGTTACCAAAGAAATAGGATAGATGATCACAGAAAGTGTTCTCTGACAAAAATGTATGGTACCTCATACATTTTGTTTGTTAATCATAATTAACAAAACAAGAGGACTAAAAACAAAATAATGTTAAATTTAGTAGAAAAAGTTTAGATATAATATTTCTTAAAATATAGATTAATTCAATAAAGTTTTATTAATAAATAACAAATTTATAAATGACTGGGGGGGGGGTGGGGGAGGCAAAGATTGAATTTGAAATCTCTTTCTGAAATCTCATGTGGTTTTGTTAATCCTAATTAAACATAAAATTATATTTAAGAAAGTTTTTTAAATCAAATAAGCAAACAATATATTCAAATAAATCGAACCTGTAATGACATCTTCGAAACCATTGGCTTCTATAAGTTGCTTAGCATGGACTGCGATCTTCGATGCATCTATGGCATAAACCTTTTTGGCACCAGCCTGGGCACAGAACATGCTCAAGATGCCTGTGCCGCACCCGACATCTGCCACAACCTTGCCTCGTACATCTTCTTCCATGTTTTGAAATATTGCTTGCTGGTAGGCATTTGTGCGTACACTATCTTCAATCATTGTTCGGTGAAGTTCAATATCTGAATATGACCTGAAAGTTAATTGAAACTTTACTCTGTTATGCAACAGCAAATGACATTTAAATATACTGTACAAGAATTATTAGCCATTTTCTGGCGGAGCCCTTTGTGACTCCCTGAAGCTATCTTGCCAAGATGACTCCCCCCCTACAGTCATCTCAGCCGTGAGGGTCCTATATGGCCCTACAAGGGACCACAGCAAGAACCTGGCCCCTTTCACTGAGGCTTAGGGACCAGGGGATTGTTACGATCACTGTCACCAGGGAAAACACCCAGAAAGCAAGCAAAACAACACAGACAACTGCAAGTTCGATAGAAAATGAAGCAGTGAAACAGCCAAACAACTCCGCAAGCAATTCTCTCAGATACGAGCTTGAATCCCCTAGTTACAACTGGCCACCAATAGGTGGCAGCACCCCCTGGAGTGCCCCACCTTCTGCGCCATCTTGCCTCAGTTCAACGCTGATGTCTACAGATACACACCACCCAGACTCACCAGTTGTAGAGAGTCTCAAGTCTTCTCAAGATAAGTGTAGGCCATCAGTCAGGTACAGTCCTGTGGGGCCCATTTGCTTCACGTGTGTGGTACAAGCCTCATTTGTTACATAGACTGGTCCATTCTTCGCTTCAAGTGGCATGCATTTAGGGTAGCCCTTCCCTAAGCACTCATTTAGCTTTGCCCCTGGACGGGCAGTGCCTTCCTTGGTGTGTTTGGGAGTTCACCCCTGACAAGCCAGGCTACTGTGTACAAAGCCTTATCCTGGGTAGTACAAGAGTCTGACTCCTCTGTAAGGCCCTGTGGTTTAGTACAATCAGGGTTCTTTGCTGTTGGGTATGCTAGGGTTTGCATACTTGTTCATATGGCACACCACAGATGCCTCTCATAGTTGTGTTTATTCTGAAGGCTGCGTGCAGTGTCAGTTGTTTCGACACATGTCTCTTGTGCATGGGTATCCTGGGTGGTTCCTTCAGATCTTGATAACTTCCTTGTGGGTCTTTGGTGTGGCTTGAAATACTTAAACCCACCAAACCCGCACTCGCTACTTCAAGTTTGAGGGTTGCCCATCGGGTTTGCAACAAACCGAAGGTCAGTTTTCGAGTCTCCTGCAACCTGTTGGCATGTTGCATCACTTGAGTTTGCTGTTCTACTATTTTAATTCAGCTTATGTCTTTTGGTTTCAGTTTATTTGCTTTTTTTTTGGTGATGAGGCTCCACAGGCGGCAGCTGCTTCTGCTTCGTTTGCCTGTTTATTGTGTGCAGCTTGATGCTTGTATGGTTGTCCCGGAGTTGGACGGTTTCATTTTTGGGGATTTAGAGCTGAAGTGGCCAATGTTCTCTGCTGCTACACTTTTTTCTGCTCCTCCTATTGTTCACCTGGCTTCGTGCGAACCTTTCCTCATCCAACCTGACTCTGGGTTCCAAGGCATCTGAGGACTTTGAAGCCTGGGCTGCATTTTGCTATAGGCATATCTTGACCTTCTCTGAGGGTCGCCCCTTCCACTTCAAAACCAAAGACAGTCGAGTCATTGCTTTCTGTCGGAGATCTGGGGCACCATCTTTTTTTTTTTTGGGGGGGGGGGCCTTCACTCGGATCTTTTAAGTGTTGGTGATGCCCTCTTGTTCAGACATTAGACATGAAGCTTTGCTCTGCCCTGGGATCTTTATTTCAGATTTTCAGAGCAGGGGCAAGCCCTTCAACCCTTCCTGAACTTTGTTTCTTTATGCAGAGGGTCATCCACTCACAAGGGGTTTCTTTCTCCTCCCTCTGTATTTGAGTTAAATTCCTCAGGTGCTCCCCCCCATGTGCACTTGTGTGTTCTGTTCGGGTTTGTGGATGCGTCTTATTGCCAGGGATTTACCTCGTCTCGCCTAACGATGCCTTCGGCCGAGGTGGGTTTTTTTCTGTTCCTCCAGTGGGATCAGAACTGCCTCCTGCTTGATGGGGTTCTGGGAGTTCTTCTACTCCCCAAGCTCAGCCCGAGGCCAGGCTCGACTTGTGAGAGTCTAGTCCACCAGGCTGTTACTTGGAGCGGCCCGCAGGGCCACATACCCACCACAGCCCGGCTGATCCGGAACTTCTCTTAGAAAACCAACCCGTCCAGTTTTCTTTTGAAGATGTCCACGGGTGTTCCGGCAATATTTCTTATAGTCGCTGGGAGGACGTTGAACAACCGCGGACCTCTGATGTTTATACAGTGCTCTCTGATTGTGCCTATGGCACCTCTGCTCTTCACTGGTTCAATCTTGCATTTTCTTCCATATCGTTCACTCCAGTACGTTGTTATTTTACTGTGTAGATTTGGGACCTGACCCTCCAGTATTTTCCATGTGTATATTATTTGGTATCTCTCTCGTCTCCTTTCTAGAGAGTACATTTGGAGAGCTTTGAGATGATCCCAAAAATTTAGGTGTTTTATCTCGTCTATGCGTGCCGTATATGTTTTCTGTATTCCCTCTATTTTAGCAATCTCTCCTGCTCTGAAGGGGGAAGTGAGTACTGAGCAGTACTCGAGATGGGATAACACAAGTGACTTGAAGAGTACAACCATTGTGATGGGATCCCTGGATTTGAAAGTTCTCGTAATCCATCCGATCATTTTTCTGGCTGACGCGATATTTGCTTGGTTATGCTCCCTAAACGTTAGATCGTCGGACATCATTATTCCCAAATCCTTGACATGCTGTTTTTCTACTATGGGAAGATTCGATTGTGTTTTGTACCCTGTATTATGTTTCAGATCCTCATTTTTGCCGTACCTGAGTACCTGAAATTTATCACTGTTAAACATCATGTTATTTTCTGCTGCCCAATCGAAAACTTTGTTGACATCTGCTTGTAGTTTTTCAATGTCTTCAGCAGAGGTAATTTTCATGCTGATTTTTGTGTCATCTGCAAAGGACAACACGAAGCTGTGACGTGTATTTTTGTCTATATCAGATATGAGAATAAGGAACAGTAGCGGTGCAAGGACTGTACCTTGAGGTACAGAGCTTTTAACATTGCTTGGACTCGATTTTATCTGATTGATTGTTACTCTTTGTGTTCTGTTCGAAAGGAAATTGAGTATCCAGCATCCTACTTTTCCAGTTATTGCCATTGACCTCATTTTGTGAGCTATCACCCCATGGTCACATTTGTCGAACGCCTTTGCAAAGTCTGTGTATACAACATCTGCATTTTGCTTTTCTTCTAGGGGCTTCTGTGATTTTGTCATAGTGGTTGAGTAACTGTGACAGACAGGATCTTCTCGCTCTAAATCCATGTTGTCCTGGATTGTGCAATTCATTGTTTTCCATAAAACTAGAAATTTGATTCCTAATCACTCTTTCAAACACCTTTATTATGTGTGATGTTAGTGCAACTGGCCTATAATTTTTTGCCAAGGCTTTACTCCCCCCCCTTGTGCAACGGAGCTATATCTGCAAATCTAAGTGCTGCTGGTATCTCCCCTGTATCCAGGCTGTGCTGTTGGTGAGTGCCGTACCTGGCACTCACCAACTGTAAGTCCACCGACAAACACTGGCATTTCCCTTCTTCGTGGCTTTACTGTGCCAACCAACCCGGTTCTATTTTCAATCAAGAACTTAGCTAGCAATGGACTTGTATAGTAATTATCTGTGTATAGGATGTGGCCCTTGTTCATCCATGGTGCCATCAGTGACTTCACCACACTACCCGAGAATCCATGTTCGTCGTTACCGGGAATGTCTACATCGCTAGCTGAATACAGAATCATGTGTAACACGTATCCTGTTTCACAGTCACACAGTACAAAAAATTTCAAGCCAAATCTGTTTCGTTTTGAGGGAATATACTGTTTGAATGAAACACATCCTTTGAATAGTATAAGGGATTCGTCAATCACCAGCTTCTGTGCTGGTACGTAAAAATCTCTGAATTTTCCAATCACCTCATTCATATAGTGCCTCACTCGCCAAAGTCTATCCTCCTCAGTCCGGTCCTCATTAGTTGCAAAATGCACACACCTGAGGAGTATCTGAAATCTGTCTCTGGACATATATTTCCCGAAGAAAGGTGTTGGAATAGTCAGATCTTTGCTCCAGTAATCTGTGATAGCGTGTTTGACACAGTGTTTCATCAACATACATATTGCAAGAAACACATACATTTCCCCTATATTGGTGTCTTTCCAACGTTGCAAGCGTGAAAATTCTGATATATCTTTTCTAATGAGATGAGCCGCATGAAGGTTCGTTTGGTGTACAATACTCAGTATATTCAAGGGGCCTCGTAGCCTGGTGGATAGCGCGCAGGACTCGTAATTCTGTGGCGCGGGTTCGATTCCCGCACGAGGCAGAAACAAATGGGCAAAGTTTCTTTCACCCTGAATGCCCCTGTTACCTAGCAGTAAATAGGTACCTGGGAGTTAGTCAGCTGTCACGGGCTGCTTCCTGGGGGTGGAGGCCTGGTCGAGGACCGGGCCGCGGGGACACTAAAGCCCCGAAATCATCTCAAGATAACCTCAAGATTCCATGAGGGGGCTCATCATAGAATGCGGTAAAATAATCACATTCACTCATATCATCATTATCCGGGAAAAGATCTGTAATCCCAACGTTTTTATCATCAAAGGCAGGAATTCGGGGAATAAAACCAGCACCATCACTCCACACTAGTACACCTGGTGTCCTGCGAGACGCAGGGGGACGCAACAGGAGACGCAGCAGAGGCACTACGGCGAGGAAGCGATGCACCCCGTGGACCAGGAGCTGAAGCCCGTCTACGCACAGTACGGCCGCTACCTGCACGTGAGGTAGAGGCACGTGCACGTGAGGTAGAGGCACGTGAACATGAGGCTCTTGGTGTCACATGTTGTTCCATGCGGTGGCGCTTGGCTGGGCGATACACTGCTGACGCGACAAAATCTTGCCCAGTAACCCCACTGGTACTGGCACCAGGCTCGGTAACACTATGTTCTGATTCCACTTCACTAAAACCAGAAAAAGAGTCACCTTCCTCTGACTCGTCATCGAAAGTATCCTCAGACT